AGCAGATCGTCCCCCAGACACTCTCGTTAAAAACATAAAAGACCTCTTATAGACGTCTTCGGCAGCCAATGAGTTTAAAAGGCGGCCTGGCCCCCAGACTGCCCAGCAGGGAATTTTATTTTTGTTATTAGCCGGTTTGTGTGTCTGCTATAACCCACAAAAACCTCAGAAGCTCAGGCTGTACTGGGAGTTAATTTCTCCTTGGGGATCAATAAAGTATTCAATCAATCAATCAGGTAATCAGCGGCTTCCTGACGGGCACCGGCAGCCCAGAAACAACGTTTCCCTGGTTTTCAGCAAAGGGAGGCAAACCCACAAACACTCACCCTTCACTGCTGCAAAGTAGGCTTTGACGTCTTTAAACAGCCGGGTTCCATCCGTCTGTTTACAAAAAAAGGAGGAAAAAAAGCATAAAACACAAAGAAGTTATACAGTAAAACCTCTATATACGAGTTTAACTGGTTCCAGGAGTGACTTCTATGTTAAATATTGGTGTGTTGGTTCAAATCTTCAATCAGAATACTCTGTAATTCCTAGAATTGGTTCCAAAAACCTAAGATAACTCCTTAATAAATACTGCAGATAATTACACAGGAATAAAACAAATTACTTCTAGAAGAGAGATGGAAAAAGAAATAAATGATAAAGAAATAACAAAAAAAAGGGGGGTTTTTGGCACTTATTGGTGAACGGAGGTAGAGGTTGAGACACAGGACGAATCCTAACTTACTCTCACTTTCACTACCTGAACTTTAAACTAACTTAGCTCATTTATTACCATTTGATTTCACATTTTTATATATTTTTCAATGACTTTCACTTTGTTGTGAATTTACTTTGTGTGTTGAGTCGAATACAGTGGGGGAATTAAGTATTTGAGCCCTTGCTGATTTTGCAGGTTTGCCCACTTACAAAGAATGCAACGATCTATAACTTTAATCATATGTACATTCTAACAGTGAAAGACAGAATCCCAAAGAAAATTCCAGAAAATCACATCATATGAATTTATAAAAATTGATAACCATCTGATGAGGAAAAATAAGCATTCTTTGTA